TGTGGAGGGGATTTGAAAAACAGAGAAGCTAAGCAGACAGAGGAGACTTCTGGGAGGCTGGAGACTTCTGCACCCTCAGGAAACCCTGATTTCTAAATGATTCTTAAATCCCCAAACTTTCTAAATGAGTCCCTTAAAGGCACACTGCAGTGTTGTGGCAGGGTTGGGCTGAAGGGCTGGTATGCAGAGGCTCTAATGATTGAGTTGTGTTTTCTTTTTAATCCCTAGATGCAACAAAAAAAAACAGTGGCAGTCACCTTCACTTCCTCATTGCCTTTGCTCTCCTCCTCTCCCCATTGCTCCAGGACATCTGCCATCAGTTCCAGCTCTCCAGTTCAGCACCACAACAACCACCACTGTTGCTTTTGCTGGTGAGATATTCCAGGAGCCCCATCAGCTTGGCAAATCCTGCCCCATCCCTGCAGGATCTGCCTGGCTCTGCTTGCAGCGGGGATCCATCGCAGACATGGAGCTCTGTGACACACGGATGCACGGATGTCCCCTGGGACCAGCCTTGTCTTCACACACAGCTGCTTGGTGCACAAAAACTCTGAAGTTCCTTTATCCTTTATTTAGATTTTAGTCCCTAAAGCGATGCAGAAACCTCAGCTCTAACAGGGCCTTGTGTGCAGCTTCCTTCTGTTCGCAGAGAAAATCTCCTGGAGTTTTGCGTGTTTGGCGTTGTTTTGCTAAGACCATATGGCACCAAGTTTATGGATCAGCCCTGGAGAAGCCGAGGGGGTGATTCCCTCAGCCTGGGGGAGAGCAGAAGGGTGGACAAATCTCAGATCTCACAGAGAAGGAGGAGGCTGGACAGCCTGCAGATGGCTCTTGTTCTCTGAGCACAGCCTGCAGTCAGGCCTTCCAGGACAGAGAATTTACACTGCTGCAAGCAAATTGTCACAATGATGACATAAACTCGATGTACCATCAAGCACAGTTCAAAGGAGAAAGGCAGGGCTGATACAGCTCTTGGTGAGGCTCTCTCTGCTTCATGGCATCATCCGAGATGGATGGATACACTCAGACAGGCCAAAGGATTTGGGTATGACCTCAGACAGGTGAAGCATGGACAGCTTGAACCTAATGAAGACAATATCCAAGGTGTATTTTTCTGCCCAGAACTGTCACAGCAGCATTTATTTGTCTGTGTTCCAGCACAGAAAGGGAGCCCCAGGTTTCAGTGCCCTGACACGGAGGTGTGGGCTCCATCAGGGCCCAGCACAGCCATTCCCAGTTTAGGCCTTGCTCCCTCTTATCTGCCTCCCATTCTCACAGGAGATTTGACAGGCAATTTATTAACTCCACAAGCCTTCACACAGTCAAGACTAAATTTAGAATTATTATTCATGGAGATGAAAGCTAACATAGTGTCTCCATTACCTCTTGAAATAAGGGGTCCATTAAGGACCAGTGAGGTAAGTGCTTCCACAAGGTGCCATCTGTTCATAGGCACATGTAATCTTTCAGTTCCAATTATCCTCAGAGATCTCATTTGTTTCTCAAAACCATGAGTTGGTTCAAATATGAGCCTACTCATTTTTTCACCAACTCCAGTAACTCTTTGAATCATATTCTTTCTGGAAAATGCAATTTCTTTATTTAGTGCATCTGTCTTCTGAGGCTTGAAATCCTCCCTGAGAGACCCCAGGCCTGGATGTCAGCTGGTGGAAAACTGGGCTAAATCTAGCTCTTAATGTCTAAAAAGCATGAGTTATTGCTAAACTGAATAATAGCCACAGTATTTATTTATGGAGTTGCTATGCCACTGCTACCTTTTCCTAACTTATTACTTTGTAAAGCTCTTTGGGATATCCAGAATTTGAAAGGTGATATATTAAACTGGGTTCTGTTATATTTCCTGTTGCTATCAGCAACTTCCCTTTTTAGCCTGGTTTAAGGCATCCATGTGTGTCTTGTTAAATGCATTCCTATTCCTGTGCTCTAGGCTCCCAGATGTACATTTTACTGTCCAAATACTAGGAGGTGCTACAACCAGCATTCCTTCAGAGCACCAGTCTTTAATCCTGTCAGAAGGACTAAACAAGGAGTTTGAAATGAGAGGGCAGAGATGGGAGCAATATATTCCTTATTTGTCATTTCACTGCTTGGATAAAATAGTATTAAACTCAGTAAAATAACATTAAATTCTGCAAAATAATCAGCCTCCTTACCCTGAAGAAAGATTTTATTTTTTCCATGTCTCAGAAAATATTTCTTTGTCATCAGCCACAAATTCTGATGCTGTCTTCTCCCCAAAAATTCATGAAACAAGGTTCTTCCTTTCTAATTGCAGCATAATAATGTGCAATGATAATTCTTATACAAGCCATCAAAAATGGTAACAACTATTGCCAGGGCAGTGTGACAGACTAACATCTGAATTTTACTGTGCTTAGAAATTGGTGGGGTTTTTGGCCCAAGGGAGCAAGAGTCTGCTGACCGCAATGGCATTGAAATGAAGAAATGTTAAAAACCTGCCTTAATCATGAGATCCCTGTAGAGAACACAAGTTTACCAAGAGTCACCTACTGAACTGAAATTTCTGAGCACACACATCGTGGTGTAAAGAGTTACAGAGACCTTTAGGACAATTAGCATTTCCCCAGGAGTAAAGATGTCCTCGATAGAAGCTGAGGGATCAACATTCCCCTCCCTTTGTCATTTCTGGAAAACAAGCATTTCATTTCATAAAGGTTTCTTTTGTTCCCTTTGTTCTAGGAGATTATCTTCTTAACAGTCTAGGCACTTAGATCAAAGTGTCTGATTTCAGAGGGATTTTATGGTTGTTGTTGCTGTTTTGTGTTTGCTTTTCAAATCATTCCTGATGTATCTTGCAGCAAAAAAAAGAAACTCTCTACGGGTGGGTAAACTGAACCAAAACTTCCAATCCCACATGGAAGATGCTGCAATCAGGCACATCCCGTCCCATCCAACACAATGACGAATCCAGCTGAGTTAGTTGTAATAGTGTCTAAGAAAACAGATGAGCAGTTGAATCCAGATTTTCTAAATAATAAGTTTCCACCAGGAGGCTGCATAATTCTTTTTGCAGATGGACATCCCTGTAGACTTTCAGTACACTTGCCTATTATTAGAATGAAGAAAATGGGAAGAGAATATTTTAATATTTGAGATTTTGACTTTCCCTTACTACACTGATCTCAGAATTATTGCTCTAGGACTTTTTTTTTTTTTTTAATGAAGATTTTAATGCTTATGGACACTTTTAATTAAAAACACACATTCTCTATCCCCTCTTCTTTGCAGCTTTCATTCTTCTTAAGTTGCTGGGGCTCAAAAGGAACACTGAGGCTAGAGCAGAACAAGGAAGTGGGTGGATGGGGGTGCTTCTATTAAGTCAGAGACATTAAAAATCAAAGGCAGCTGAGACACAGATTTATCCTACTCAATCCTGGACCTAAAGCCCATGCTCTGACAGTAGGCATTTGGGCTGCTACCTTCAAAAAGCTATTAAGATCAAAGATGAATAAAATGTTTCAAATTAGACATAGTTAATGCTAAGGATTGCTGAATCTGGTGAATTCTGAATGTTCTGCCATCTCTCCCCATGCACACACACGTGTGATCCCACACAGAGTGAACTCCAGGGGTTTTTTGCAATGGTCATTATTTAGTCTGAAATTTTGGCTTCAGAGACAAAGGTAAGGTGATTTAAGGCTAAATAAGTCAGAGAGAGCAGAAAAGGGTCTCTTGTATTCATTCTGAATTCATCCCTGCCTTCTGCAATAGAATACCCCCAGATCTGCTGCTGAGGATCAGCAATCAGATTTAAACGTTACCATGGCTATCGCAATGGACATTGCATTAATGTGTAAGAGCCTTAAAATTTTGGGTGGGTTAAAAGGAACATAATATTGCTGGTTCTTTTCCAACTTCTAGCTGATATATACACACATACACACTATTTATGTACTGAATCAGTACTGAATAAATGAAGACCCCAAATTACTTGCAAAATTAATTTGGATTTTAAAATAAGATCATTTTGGATTCATTCCCTTTCAAGTTTGTGCTTTTGCCAAATGATAAAATAATGATTTTAACTGCCTGGCATTCTCTGCTCTGTCACAACATGGAGATTTATATAAGAATAGATGCAGGAACAAATGCTTCAGCTGTGACGCTTGCCTAGTGCAGTAATACAGTTCAGAGCAGTGACTCTCACCTTGTGGAGCAGAACCAGACCATGAATTTAACTAACCCAGGGCATACATCAAGTGTTCTCTGCTTAGGATAAACTCCCCTTCAAGTTAGAATTCGTGCAGTACAGAAGATGCATCTAATCCGAGGAAGTTTGGTTTCAGACACAGCATGTTGCAGAACTGATTGCTGTGAAAGCAGCACAGTCTGCAGAGACCTGGGGGCTGCTCCTCTGGTAATAAATCAGTGGGAAAGTCTCAGAGGCAACAGGGAAAAGGATGGGAAGAAAAGTCTTACAAAGCTCCAGTGACTCCAGAGTCTCTTCCTCTGAATAAGGGTATAGTCACATCTCAGCAGGTCTGGAATCAAATGCTGCTATCCACCCACGAATCACTGAAACACCTCCAGCCTTTCAAAGCCCAAATTCTGGGGCACAAGCTGGTGCTGCTGCTCTTTGTCATGGGTGCTTGGTACTGACACATGTGTGAACCTGGCTTGTCTTGCACCTGAGGTGCATCATTTGCATGAAATAAGTTGTGTATCTCTGAGGAACATTGCATCATCTCAGCAGACCTTTGACAGTCTTAGGGAAATGAAGACTTTATAACTTCCCCTGTAAATTGAGAAAAAATATTCCTATGGAGCTATCAAAACGTTCTCTTGTAACAAAAATTAAACTGTCTCTCAGATTTTTATTTAATTTTAGTGTTAGAATTATCTCCTGATTGATAATATACAATGTATTTGCAAACTGAAATGTCATTTCAAATTCCCAAAGATCAAAATATTCATATGAAATGAAATTGAATATTTTGACATTGTCAAAGCGCTGAAGTTCTTTATTTTCCCCTTGGAAAATCTGATAAAAATCAACACAAATGCATACAAAGATACAGTTTCATTAAAACAGAATTTTCTAATAGGAATATGTTCTGCCAAAAAGAAACAAGTATTTAGGGATCTTCAACATTGACTCTCTGGGTGAAAAGATTAGCTTAATTATTGTTTTGTTGGCTAAGGAAGTCGTTCAATTGAATAGTGCTATTGTCTTAATATAATGGCAGTATTTAAATCCTGTATTTACAAATAGGGGAGCAGACAGGAGGTTCCTCCAGCTGTGCCATCGATTTCCCCAAGACTAATAGGACAAGCTGATAGAAATTAAGCAAAGGGGAAGGAGAGAGCCTTCACTTCTTCTCCCTCCTGTCAATTTTGAAGATCATGAACGTTCTTAGTCAAGCACCCAGAGTGTTGCATGTAACAGATACTTACATATTAAATTTTCATGTATTTAGGTAATCCTTTTCAGTCTATTAGAATGCTATTAAATTCTCTCTCATTTTTGTCCTGTAGTACATCAAGTAATATCCCTCTTCTTCATATTTCTCTCATGCTTTTGAATTCCTTGATTATTTAAAAAAAAATAAGCAAGGTGAAAACAACTAAACCATTTTATCCATTTTGGTCCCACAGCCTGGACTTGACACAGAGAGGATCCTGAGTGGAAAGGGAGTTCAGTCATTTCTTGCCCCTTTTTCCCATCACAATTAATCAGGATGATGGATGCTTCATGCCCACTAAATGAGGAGGTTTATGGATAGTTCTTTGCAGTGCCACAGCACAAGCACCATCAGAGATGCTGGCGGATTCCCATATCCAATCTCTCATGCAAATAAATATTGACGATCCATTTCATTCAAATTATTAGTCACTGCTCCTCCTCCCTTCCCCTTCTTCCGTCTGTTAAAATTATTCATTTTTGAGAAGCATTAGGGGAATAATCCACAATCAACAACGTGTCCAGTGTTCAGCAGCATAACTCATCACAGACTCAAATATCCCCAGTGCCCCAGGCACTCGACTGGAGGGGACAGACAGCCTCCAACTACTGCGTGACTCTTCCCTGCAAACTGCCTTCAACAGCACGTTTAATATGCTTGAAATGAATCACATTCATTTTTATTCACCACAGATTTCTATATGATGTTAAAATCCTTCACTAACAATGAGCCTCAGGTTCTTTAGTTTTGGCTGGACAGACAAGTAGCACAGTATTTTCCTATCCCTTTATTTGGATGAATATACAAATATTTCTATGGCAGATACATGCATAAGCAAACTTACAAGTGGGTATTTGCAAATATGTTCGCCACTCTGAAATTAGCTCTCTACAAACAACCCTGCCAGTAAAACTCATTGTTAGAGTGTTTGCAGAGAGCTAACAGATGAGAGGGTGGATATAGCTGGACTGAGCTAATTTAAATACCCAAGCAAATAGTTTCTGAAGTTTTCCATTATTCTCCCAGTTTTATTTTCAAAACATTATGGAAGATAAAGATTTGGCACCTTCTTAAACTGCTGAGGACGAACAGGAAGATAACAGAAGGGTCATTCTCATTTTGGTGTCTCTCTGCACATGTTCTTGATCTCCATTCTGAGAGATCCTATCTTTGCAGCCTGGGGTTGGATTTTCTGTAGTTCCAGTGCATGGTCTGGCACAGCTGAAGTGTTCATTCACAAGGATCATGTTCCAGCCCTGGAATGGGGTAATTACTTCTTCTGCTGCTCACAACTGTGGGAGAGAAGGCAGAAATTTCCAGAGCAGCAGCCTTCAACCGTGTCTTGCACCAGCATTATCAACTCTCTCCACATGGTAGATAAGCAGTGGAATAAACCCACTTCATCCAAAACACCCCAGGATAGTTCCAGATAAGTACATCTGATCCAATAATTTCTGTGGGCATTTTGTCTGTTATACTCAGGTGTGCCCAATTTTCTTTCAACAAGTAGCTTCTTTAACTGTGTTGCCAAACACATCTTTCACCTCTTTACTATTCCCCCTGCTCCTTAAACTTACTCTAATAACCAGCATGCAGGAGCACTGTGAATTGTTTGGATGCAGCACACTTCAGAGATACAGCTTTGAAGCAGCAACACTGAAATGGGAAATAAATGAAAGCTTTAAAAAAAAAAAAAATTAAATTCAAATGAATGTCTTCATATCCAAGAACATGAAGTGGCTTTGATTTCCAGGCCACATAATTTTCAGAATAATTAGTAGCAATGCTTCTTAATATATCATTTTAAATGATTATAGGAGGCAGAAAATAAGAGCATCTTTAGGGGACTTTAGTGCAATTTAACTAATATGCTTTCACTTCAAACATTCAGGTAATTCATCTTAACTTGTTCAGATGCCCTTGTGCACCTAAGCAAGTGAAGATGGATAACCTGGAGGTTTGGGTGATTTCTTGCTCATCTCCAGCTGCCAGGAGCATTCCTGTAGCACTGGGATGAGCAGAGGGTATCCACCAACAAAAAAGGTGCTGTAATTCTGTGGTGGAATTAAGGCTACATCAGCTGCTCTGTGCCTCTGCTGCCTGCAGTGATCTCAGGGGATTTCTGTTCTTTGGTCTGCAGGTGTCAGGGGGCAGCTCCTCACCTTGCAGCAGGGGGGAGAAAAAGGTCAGGTTTTCTATCATTTGATACCAAGCAGGGCTCCTCACTTGTGCTGGATCCTGTGAATCACTAAGCTCAGGTCCAAAAGAGGATTTCTCTGTAGTCTGATGAGTTGGATTTTTTGTTTGTTTGATTTTTGATTTTGTTTTTTTTTAAATAAATGAACTTTCCCTCCCTTTTTTGTCTTCTCCTTACTGTATTGTATTGTCCTAGCTGTCCACATAGGTAGCAAAGAGGAGCTCTAAACTCTCCAAAGCACCTACAATTAATCTGTGCTTAGGTAAAAAAGTAAATATTTCAATTGAGAACACGTCAAAAAAACCTGGACCCTTTTTTCTTCTCCTACTATGATTTGTGGAAGTGATCATTATGTTTTTCCTGACAGTGATGATAACATGGCTTCTCTATTTTGCTAGGAGAAAGGGGATTTTTTTTTCAGATAACCACACACTCAGACAGCCATTCTTGAGTGGAGTTCTGCTCTTGCTCATTACAGATTTTGCACATTGCTTGGTGTGTGAGGGGAGGTGGAAGAGAAAGGGAAAGGAAAAAGGAAGAAAATAACTGGAGAGAGTGGAAAAATCCAAGAAGAATGTTTCATCAGGAAGACTTAATATAGAAAAGAAAAGAAAACAAGTCTATATTTTACAGAGAAAGCACATTTTAGCATCAGCCTGCAAAGCTCCCTTTAGATAGGATAACATATTTCCTCAATGACAAAAGGAAAAATTGACTCTTGGGAAGAAAAAATTCTTGGTTTAAAATACAGGGCAAAGGTCTCTGAACTCAATCTGGGGTTTTTTTTTGGAACCCAAAATAAACAGTTTGAGTGGTTATCAAATACAGCCAAACTCCTCTGGGTTTGCAAAATCTTAGTTATCCTCTGGCCTCTTCTGTACTTCTGTTTGCTCTAAAATACATCAAAGCCTGAGATAAAACACATCAAACAGCAGCAACCTCTGGAACCAGGGAAATTGTAAGTGAGGAATGCAGAGAACAGCAGGATGACCATGTTGAGTACAGAAGGATGAGGCTTCTGAGGAAGGATGCCCAGTGGACCTCTTGGTATGCATAAGGACAATGCCATCTGTGCATTTGTCTGGCATTTCCTCTCCAGAAATGACCAGAATTTGTTTCTGTGAATGTTCTCTGAAGCTGGTGGAAGTCACTGATGCCCCACCTGTCAGCAGCTCTTAGGAACTGTGCATTTCTCAGGCACAGCACATCAGTTGGGTGCTCAGGAGGGTAATGGAGCAGTTACATTTCTCCAGAAGTTTTCACTTGGAGAGGCTGATTGGGATCTGATTTCTCCTGGCACATCTTGCTAGCCCTGTTCTTCTGTTTGTGGTGGGACAGGACATGTGGGATGAACAACCCTTCAGCCTGCAGTTACTTATCCCACTAACTTTTACATTGATTTAATTCAAGGTTCTTACCTGGAAGGAAGCAGAGCAGCAAAATATTTTTACATCTGTGCAAAAGATGGAAGATGAGGATGGCAGCCTCACTGCCCCAGCTCAGATGAAGTCAGAATGTGGGTAGGAATTCACTGTAAAATATCCAGCTCAGGGGGATACCCAAGGCACTGTGGGGTTTTCTTTGTGGTCCTTTTTCATTCATGCATTGCTCTGGTGTCTGGCTATAGGAAAAACAGGGAAAAACCAGTAAGATAAAGTGTAAAACACTTAAATTTTGAGTTATTTTATGTAATGTGTCTCCTTGGGATGCTGGTAAGGCATTGTGTCTATACAGCTTTTATATAGTGACCGTTGCCTCACCAAGTAGAAGTTGTGGCTGTAATGTGACCTAAAAGCTCCCTAAAATAAAATAAAATGCCAGCTGCAAGATTTCTTTCTCTTGCTGAGGGAGAAATGCCTTTTTTGCAGTCATTTTCAGCAGCACACGATATCAGGATTGAGCAGCTGTTTGCAGCTCATGCAAAGGAGGAAACAGAAGAACCTGAGGGGTTCTGATGCCTCTTTGGTTTCTTTCCCAGTTAACCCCTCCACACATTAGCAATAATATTTCTTGAGTATGATACTAGTGCAGCATTTCTTGGATGAAAAAGTGCAGTCCAAGGTAGGTCAGTCAAACAGGAATATTTTAGATGCAAAATAAAATCATGCATTTAGAAAAAAGAAAGGAATAGCCATGAGTAAAGACCTCTGTTGAAATCTCTTGAAAATCTTTTTTTCCTGTCAGTCCTATAGATCTTGTATCTCTCCCTTAGGCTCCAGCAAGAGGAAGAGAAGGGTATTTTGGTGACAACTGTAAATATTTCAGCAATATTGACTGGCCAGCTGAGCAATGTGTTACTCTGCTTTTGTAGATTCTGAAATCTACAGAATCCTGGCTCTGAGTTTGTTATTATTTATCACTTTTACTAAGGTTCTAATAGACCTTAAAAAACATGAGAGATGCTATGATAGTTATTCAATGCCATGTTGTTAATTTTCTCCTTTACAAAACACTTCCCCAGATGTGACTTTGAAAGAAGTACAGAACAATGTATCTGTACTCCAGATGTCAATGTTCTAGGAATCAGTTTGTTGTCATCAGAGGTTATACTTTTCTGGAGATACTTCTGGGTTCTCTTCAGACCCAGACCATTTTAGATAAGGAGGCTCCTCTGCTAGAGTGGGCTCCTCAGCCACATCCATACTCTGGATGGATGAGTGGAGAGGAAGTAAAATAGGACCAATGTTCTCCAGGAGCTTTTCCCTTTTTGCCAGGTGCTCTCCATTTTCCATAATGTGAACACTAAAGTTTCTCTGAGTGGTCAGGTAGAGAAGGCAGGAGAAGTGAGATGTGAAGGACACAGCAGGAGGAAGCAGCCAGCCCATGGTTACATCACAGAAAAGTTGAGAAAACAGAAACAGTTCTGATGTTTTACCAGACCTTTGTACAAAGATCATCAGCTGGGCCTTGCAGCCCAGAGGAAGCTCCAGGATTCTGGAAGGATTTAACACAGAATAACACAGAACATCTCCATGGGCTGCACTGCACCCTCAGGCCACATATACATCTCCTTACACCCAGTTAGCCCACCTGCTTTAAGTGCAAACTTCCCCAACCCACTGCAAGCAGGATCCTTCTGGCAGACAGAGAAAGTTCCTTCCTGCTGCTCCCTGAAGGAGCTGTGTGCTGCCAAGCTCATTGTGGGAAAGGTCTTCTGCTGACCACAGAGAACAATACCAGCAAAGCCCTACTCTTAATTGGTTTTCCATGGCCAGATGAGCTCCCAACCCCTATCTGAATCCATTTGTCCCCAAGGCCGTAGCAGCTCTGCAGATTCAGGAATTTTCAGCCTGTGGAGCTATGATAAATAGAGGCAGGTAATGGCAGTGCAGATAGACTGCAGTACTGGACGTCTGCTCTCTATTAGCTGCGGAATAATTCCTGCTGAACTCCAGGTTTAATGGCAAATATCTTCTTTCAGCAGCTGTTTCCCCAGACATCTCAGGTACATGCACCCTGAACTGAACTGCTGGTCTTGTCCTGCCTGAGGAAAAGCCTCTGAATTACATTTGAAAATGAATTAACTTTGAATGGTGGTGTTGACAACCAAATTCTGAAAAATTTTAGACATTGGTCTCATTTTTGTTACTAGTGAAAAATGGCATCCAGAGCCAAAGGCTTCAGAAAACTTCCAATATTTGTAAACATTTCCAAAGCTGAACTATTTAAGCTTTAGGATTCAGGGAAGCTTTAATGTCTACAGAGGAACCTGCATTTTAATTTAATGATTGTATGTGGAGCCAGCATCCCAGCTTAGAGCAGCTCAGAACTTCTATTGTGAGATCTGTTTTAAGCTGTTTACAACTTGGACAAGTTTTGAGAATTTGAATTGCAGGCTTTTGAATTAATTTGGTGTTTGTAGAAAAGCATCTGTTAAATTGGTGTAGAAATCTGTCTGAGAATGAGACAAGAGGAAAAGTACATTGTTAAAAATCCTCATTTACTTCCAAATTCAAAAACAAGGACTTGACAGGTACCAAGAAGATAAGGAGGTTTTGTCTCTTTTCCATTATTCTGAAAAAAAAACCCCAAACAGCAAGACAAAAGAGGAACATAAGGAAATGTGAACCTCAGGGGTAAAAAATCTATTAACAGAATTGGTAGAGTCTGGCACCTAAATTTGCTGAAGAGTGCGTCCCAGCCTGCCAGTCATGTTCTTTGAAGTTGATGAAGACTTAACAGATCATTCCCTTTCCCCAGGGTGTCATGGGCAAAAGAACCTGAATTTGGGGACTTTTAACTTAAATTATCAAACCAATCAAGACAAACATCTAATCCGTGATTCATTTATTGAGAAAAAAGAAAGTGCAAATTATTAAAAAAGCCCTTAAATAAACATCCTTCCTCCTCCAGCCTCAAATTAAGTCAAATGCCTGCCCTCCCACCTTCCCAGCGTGAATTTTTTGTGTTTTCACTCCAGGTTACACTGGTTCTGTCACAAACCTTCAGTGAGGCAATGGTTGATGAACTGAATTTGTTTGTAGTGGTGTTTGTCACTGTGCCCACTCTGTCACAGCTCATCCACAGCTGCAGTGGTGGCACGGGGTGCCCATGGCCATGGAATTCGTTGTCCTGACCCACAACAGGACATGGTCCCTTCAGGCTTGTACCCTCGGGCATGGAGCACCACCACAGGCTTTTCCATGAGTGAGTCTGTGCAGTTGGAGCCATCAGTGATGTGAAACACCCCGGTCCAAAGCAGCCAGACAAAGAATGAGGATGGATCCCACATCTTCCATCGCTGTGGCTGGTGCTGAACACCTGCTCCAAAAGCAAACCCCAAAAGGGGCTGACACCTGCAAGGTGCTCCAGGTGAAGTTCCAAGGCTGGGACAGTGAGGAGGGGCCCAAACTCCAGATGCAGAGGGGCTGAACAGAGGTTTGCATGCTGCACTGTGGGCTGGGCATGGGGAGCAGGCAGGAAGGATTCTGCCCCCCAGCCCCTGCCGTGCAAAGGCTGCAGTTTGTGGTGTCAGTAAAACCTTCAGGAAGCTGCAAAGCTGTGCCATCCTGCCCAGTGCTGGCACACGGAGGATGGCAGCCTATAGCCACTGCCTGTCCTGGGATCTACTGTGTTAACAGAGCACAGAATTAATTCACAGTGCTTGTGGAAACCACCAAAATCCTGCATGCTGGATTTGCAACAGGGGCAGAGGAAAACGTGGGGTCTCTTTTTCTCCTTTTTTTAATATAACCCACATGCAACAAAAATGTATCGCAACTTCACGTGAGTTCGGAGGTGAGACCTCTTCCACCCTGGCTTTAAACAGGCTGCTGTCTAATTTTGATTCTTGTTCCTAAAGAGTCATCATTTCTGATGTGGAGAAGAGTCACAGGCAGTCACGCACACTTTCTTTGCCACCTGCACAGCCTTGAAGCAGAAGTGAAGCAGAAAGACATGAAGACTTTTATTCCTGGAACTGGGAAGCAGGGGGATGTATCAGGATTCCAATCTGCAGTAAACTATAATAATTTTGGAAAGAAGCTACCATCACACCCCCTGTTTTAAGAGTGACAGTTCTTACAGAAAGGTCCTGGCAGTGCTGATTTGCATCTCTGCTCGAGCCCTGACAGCAGCACCTCTCTGGGAGAATCCCCCCAAACACAGTGCATGTGCAATGGGACATGACAGGCTGTGTGTCTGTGGGCGAGTCCCTCAGGGGCTGTTATAAGACTCAGCACTGTGTTCTTTTAACTGCCTGAGAGAGATTATAATGATTTTTTTCTGTGCCTGGTGGAGTGTCTTCCCACTACTATAAAATGCAATTTGCAAACAAAAATACAAGAAAAGGGATTTTGGATGATCTGGGCACTGTCCAGGGCCAATTACAAAGCGCTGTTTTTTCTCATCTACAGCTGTGAGTATAGCTTATAATAATTTACTGAAGTTGTTAAAAAGAAGTAATTCTTTACACATCTGTTTTTCACAGGCATTTACTGGCCTGTAGAAAATGTAATTAAGCAGAATTCCTGCCTGTTGGGTTTTGTTACGCAAGATCTTTCTGTTCCACTGCTGCTGTTAAATTCATCAAGAGGTGGGCACCAAATTTAATACTATATCCAGAATTTGTCTTTGAGAATGGTTCCACAGTGTGCAAAACTACCTGGTTTTGTCTGCTCCATGCCCAAGCTGCACATGCCCCCGCTCACCACAGCTGAGCCTCAACCCAGTTTCTGGGTGGAGTGGTTGCTTTGAGTCAGGATTTAGGAAAACTCCACCATTAGGGAAAGATAGTGGAGGGTGAGGATGGAGAGACTCCTGGGAGTCCTATGGAGTGGTAATGGCATGCAAAGCCTTTCATCTCTAGGTTTCTAGGCCAAATTAGCTGTAGTGACCCAAAGCTTTTTGAAACCAAGAAGGGATGTATTTTATTTTAACTTGTAATAAATAAGACAATTTGACCTGATTTTTTCAAAGGGGTAAGTGTGTGTATACCCTGTTGGGAGTTCCTCCAAAAATTAACAGCTTGTCTTTGACTAAAAGAGAGGCAGTTCTTCTCCCTGGCAGCCTTTGAAGCTTCCCAGGCAGCCCCATCCAAAGCCAGGGCATCCCTCCTCCGAGAGCATCAGGAGAGAGAAGCTCTGGCCCTGGCCAGCCTCCTCTGCCCTCTTTTCATCTCAT